TAGTTTTGAATCAATTTATATGTATAATTTATATTAATAAATATTATATTATTCTAATTATACATACGACTTTGGATATATTATTGTCGGTTTAATTATTTTTTGGATCAATAGTCGGTTTGGTTATCAATTCAGTATATTTGATAATATCTATTTTTCGAATTCAGCTATAATATTTTTTATTCTAAATATAATAAAATTTTGATTAATTTTCTTATTTTCATTTCGGTTGGTTATTGTATTTAGATGTAAATATATTTTTTGACCAAAAAAGATATGTAAATATATTCTTAGTTATGTAAATATATTATAGTTAAATTATGTATAACTTAATATATATTGTGCTTAAGATGAAATAAATAATAAGCTGCAGTGTTTGATTCAAAATTACATAAATGAATAAAATTACATGCATATATATAAATGCTAAAAAGAATTAAATTGTAATGGGTTAATATTTCTTTTTCTTTTTAATATGCTTTAAGTCAACCTCTAATTTATATGTATAAAATTAAATAGATTATTATATTATTATTATAAGATTATATGTTCTTATTGTAGTTAGATGTCTAATTTTGGATATAAATTAGATTAGTCGAGTCATTCATTTTGTGAGTATATTGAGTTAAACATAGTTTTTAAATTAAAATTGGAGTATTATTACTTTTTATTTTAGTTAAGTCAAATCAAGTTAGTTTTATTTATTGCTTAAATATACATGTATTTTCATAATATTTATTTTCTCTTTATTTTAGTTAAATCAAATCAAATTAGTTTTATTTATCGCTTAAATAAACANATTGGAGTATTATTACTTTTTATTTTAGTTAAGTCAAATCAAGTTAGTTTTATTTATTGCTTAAATATACATGTATTTTCATAATATTTATTTTCTCTTTATTTTAGTTAAATCAAATCAAATTAGTTTTATTTATCGCTTAAATAAACATGTATTTTCATAATATTTATCAAATTATATGTTGATTTCTAAAAAAAAAATTAGAAAATAAAGTGTAACTGATAAATTTTTGGATGTTCATGAATATATATATTTTTATTATTTTTAAAATATATTTTATGTTATTTAAAATATATATTAATGGGGGTATTACTATTTTGTGAACTTTCATTTTTAACAAAGTTATAATTTATACATATATATTCGTTTTTAATTTTTTTTTAAAAAATAGAAATATTTTCTTTTTATTATATATGTTATTTGGAAAAAGGTAAAAAGGAAACTAAATAAAAATAATAATCTTAAAATCTAAAAATTCATTAAGGGTATCTAAGTAATCAACTATCGCGAGAGTTAACGTGAGAGCGACACGTAGGAAACTGACTTCTCAAATAATATTATAGAGATAATTGAATTAATTAAAATAAGAGAATAATTAAGTGATTATCCGTGTTTTACGGCTCCTAATGACAATTAATGCCAACGAAGAAACCTAATCCATAAACAAAATCGATTAAAAAGATTTAAGAAAAAAAACAAAAAAACTTCACGATCGTTTCGTCTTTCGTCATCGTCTTCTTCTTCAACAACACCGTTGACGAATTCTCCTCAACATGCAATGTCGATTTGATTGATTCAAACCATCAAAAAACACCAATGGAGAACGTTGCCGCGCAATTGAAGCGCGGAATCTCGAGACAATTCTCAACGGGATCATTGCGACGAACACTAAGCAGGCAATTCACACGCCAATCCTCCCTCGATCCACGCCGTAACAACATGAGGTTCAGCTTCGGCCGCCAATCGTCGCTAGATCCGATCAGGCGGAGCCCCGAGTCGTTGGGATGCGAGCCGAAGATGTGTGTCCCGGAGAATCTGGATTCGACGATGCAGCTTCTCTTTATGGCGAGTAAGGGAGACGTTGAAGGAGTTGAGGAGCTGCTCGATGAGGGAATCGATGTGAATAGTATTGATCTAGATGGACGTACGGCTCTTCATATTGCTTCGTGTGAAGGTCATTACGACGTCGTTAAGGTTCTTCTTAGCCGGAGAGCTAATATTGATGCTCGTGATCGTTGGGGTAGTACGGTCTGTTCTTCTTCTTCTCATTCCTTATTTCGTGATGAATCTCTGCAAATTTCTGGTTTAGCGAAATTGAGCTCAAATTGATTTCCGGTTCGTACAACCGGGCTGGTAGTGATATTTGGCTTTGGTTTGAGTCGGATTGTTTCTCTGGTTTGGCTTTGGTTCAACCGAATTGATCAATCTTTTTAGTTAGGCTTAGGCCAAAAACCAGAAATCCGAACCCAAACTAATAAACATGTATCCATACCCGCAAGAACTATAATAAGTATGATTCAAATATGATTCAGATATGATTAACTGAATTCGAAATGGCAACTGAAAAACTTGAAAAACCAAAAAAAATATGATTCAAAAATCCAAAATAGTATTTACAGTAAGTATTGAAAACCAAAATAAGTATTCCAAATAATCACTTACTTATTTATTTTGATATATAATATCTAAATGTATATTAGAGAAATTTTCTATTATAGATCTAAATTTTTTTGTCACAAATATAGATTTAAAAAAATAGACTTAAATATTTTATAAAAAATAGTTTGGGTTAATTAATCATATATCTTTTTGTTTAGATTTGAAGTTTTGAGATAGAATTTCAAATTTTAAAAAATAAAAATTTAAAATTTCTAAAATAAAAAATGCTAGTTTAACCATTTTAATTTTTGAGGTCTATTTTGTGATAAAAACTTTAAAAAATCTATTTGAGAGAACTTACCAATATATTATTCTGAAGTATTATTAACCGAATCAAAATTGAGTTTGGATTCAAAATGAATCTTAAAAAGACATAAAATATAACTTGAAATGTTATTAACGGAGTATGACTCAAACATATATAGAACCCGAAAATCTCATGAGAATCCGAACACCCAAGCCTATTTTAACACATTCAGATTTTGAATATTGTGCAGGCTGCTGTTGATGCCAAGTATTATGGGAATGCTGAAGTGTATAGTCTCTTGAAAGCTCGAGGAGCTAAAGTCCCGGTATGGTTTTTAACATACATATTTCTCTTTCTATGATGTTCTTAAGATTTCTCTTGTCTCTGATGTGCTTTACTTCTTCTTCAACATTTGTGTGTATTTAAAACTTTAGAAAACAAGAAAGACTCCAATGACGGTGGGAAATCCAAAAGAAGTCCCTGAGTATGAGCTTAATCCACTCGAGCTTCAAGTCCGAAAAGTTGATGGCATCTCTAAGGTTGTTCCTTCCTCTTATTCTCACAAGACTTGAGTCTCTTATTCTGATTTTTTTTTTGTTTACTTAGGGAACATATCAAGTTGCTAAATGGAATGAGACGCGAGTTTCAGTAAAAATATTCGATAAAGATAGTTATTCAGATCCTGAACGAGTGTATGCACTCTTCTTCTTCTTCTTGAATTAATCTATGAGTCTGTGTCTAAGTTGTTTGATAACATGACACTGTGTGTTTCTCTTTCTGGTATGAGCAGAAATGCTTTCAACCATGAATTAACTTTGCTAGCTAAAGCTCGTCATCCAAATATAGTTCAATTTGTTGGAGCAGTCACTCAAAATCTACCGATGATGATTGTAGTTGAGCATAACCCAAAAGTAAGTAACCATAGTTTTTTTATTCACTTCATTTCCAACGTGCAAACCGAATCACAAATTGTAGTAAATCTTGTAATAATTTCCAGGGTGATCTAAGTAGTTATCTTCAAAAGAAAGGTCGTCTTTCTCCTTCAAAGGCTCTGAGATTTGCTCTTGATATTGCCAGAGGCATGAACTATCTTCATGAATGTAAACCAGACCCGGTCATCCACTGCGATTTAAGGCCAAAGTAAGGCAAAGCCGAGAGAAATTTGATAACATCGACAAAAAAACACAGTTTGGATAATATTTTGAAAGTTCTTTGTAAGGTGTCAGAAATATTTTGCTGGATAGAGGAGGACAACTGAAGATCTCTGGATTTGGTTTGGTAAAGTTGTCCAAGATTTCAGAAGATAATGTCAAAGTTGCGAACCACCAAGCTCATATCGATAGATCAAGTAAGAAAAAATGTTGTAAACATGTTCTTTATACGACAATGCATTGTTCTTGGCAGTTCTTGTGCTCATTACCCTTTGAACTGCAGATTACTATGTTGCACCTGAAATTTACAAAGACAATATCTTTGATAAAAGGGTTGATGTGCATTCATTTGGTGTCATTTTGTATGAGGTAGTAACATAAATCTATCACCTTGTTGATAGTTTAAATATCTGAGTCTCAAACTCTTGCATTTTTTGGATTTTGTATGTGAAGATGACTGAGGGAGTATCTATTTTTCATCCTAAATCTCCTGAAGAAGTTGCAGAGTCGATATGTTTAGAAGGAAAGAGACCAACAATCAAAACAAAGTCGAAGAGTTACCCTCCAGAACTGAAAGAGTAAGGAATTATCATCTGTTATTGCATTTTGTGATGTTTGTAGGCATTAACAACTTAATAATCTTTGTGGTAATCTGTAGGTTGATTGAGGAATGTTGGCATCCAGAGATAAGTGTGAGGCCAACATTCTCTGAGATTATTTTCCGGCTTGACATAATAGTTTTAAACTGTTCTAAGCAGGGTTGGTGGAAAGACACGTTTAAGTTTCCTTGGTAAAACAATTTTTCATCTTCTTTGATCTGAATGAAAAGTTTTATTAAGCCAAAACAAATATTTATGCTATCATGTTTTCTTTTTCTGCAGGAAATGAAGGGAAACGATTGAATCAATCAACACTGAGAGTGAAAAACCCCAATGATGAAAGAGACAACAAGATGTGAATGAGATTTCATTTGCAGACTCAAGCAGATACACCCTTTGTAAAAACAGAACATATCACTGATTTGTTTTTAATACTTTTCATGTTTCATATCATAAGCATTGGGGTATTTTGTTAAGTATATTCTACAAGTAACAACATACACATCAATTGTTCATATCAAAACTAGAAGCAAATTTTAAATTCTAGATAAGTTTCATAAATTTCTGCTATAACAAGTACAATTGCTCACTGGGTAGTTAAAAGTCTTACAAAGATGACTCGAGAGTCCTAGTGCGGGTAATCACTTTATTTTTAATGATATTGAGTAATTAGTTTACTAATTTTTAATCCTGGATCATCATCAACTTGGCAAATAAATGCGTTCACTATTACCATGCTTATAAAAAAAAATCACTTAAGTTCTTTAAGAAAGAGGTCAAAGTAGATAACATCTATAAGAGGGCATGCTTAATTGAGATTTGTTATTTGATCTCTTTAGTTACCTAGAGACTCTTGAATTTGTTACCACTGCGGATGGCCTAAGAGCAACACCAACGGTTAATATCTCATCTGGGCTTCTGAAAAAGCAAAATACTATTTTGTTTAAATAAAATTTTGTTAGTCAATTAGTTTACTTTCTTTTTAAAATTTTTTTTTTGTCTAATTAAAAAAAAACTAATCGCATGTCGTCACGTGTCAGTAGAACTCACGAACAATACAAAAAACATTCCCAAACCGTTTCTTATGAGGATCGTTTTGTGTTTTTTATGGGATCCACACGCAAAAAATAACTAAAAAAATAACTAAAAAAATCTTTTTGTATACTGTATTAATGGTGCTCTTAAAAATAACTAAAAATCAGTGAACCCGGACAGGGGTTCACTGATGTGTCTGCTCTAATGATGTAAAGAACTACACGTCTGCATTCCTAAAACTTTTTATGAAAAATTATTAAAAATATCATAAGCTAAGTATCAATTTTCAAAAATAATATCAACCAAGAAATATACAAATATTTGAATTTAAGTTTTAGTGATTATTTTTTTAGGTTTAATATAAAGAAATTGGGATTGAGTTTATAAATGTTCTATAAATATTTTAAGATATGTACATTCACAGAACCGAACTCTTGCAATGGTTTGATAAAGTGGAAAAGTCAAAATGATGACTCTTGAAGAATCTCCAACAGCTCCTTATCCTTTATTTTAAATGATTTTGCATTACAATAGTCACTTATTCTCTTATTTTCTAAAGGGGTTAACAACACCCTCAAATATAATGGGCATTATTAAATCTCTTAAAATACTTTTTAATATTTAGTTTAGTCCCTACAATTATATATGTTATACAATTGCATTAATAACTTTCTATATATCATATTTTAATATTTATTGTTATAATTTTTCTTAAATCTACTTTGATTAATTTTTATATATCATATTTAATTTTCACTTTAGTCCCTACAATTATATATGTTTCACAGTTGCATTAGTTACTTTTTATATATATCATATTTTAATACTTATTCTTATACTTTTTCTTAAAATTAATTTGATTAAAAACATTATTAACGCTTTTTCTATTTTTATATTTATATTTAACGACATATTATTATATTTTAATATCTATCAAATAGTATGTTTTATTGATTTTTGAAAGTTGTATTTAATTATTGATAATACTGAAGACTAAAATATAATATATTAAAAAAAAAAATAAAACAATATTTAAGAGTCATTGTTGGAAAATTATCCCTTTATTTTAGGTGGATTTCTTCTTTAAAATGAGATGATTGTTGGAGATGTTCTTATGAGTTTCTTCCAAGGCAAAGCCATTCTTCCTCGTCAACTGTTGCTGGTTCAGCGTTGAAAGCTAGAGCTTCCAGGTATATTAACTCCTTAATCTGCTCCAGTGTCAGTGGATGTTCTTCTAAATCAATGCTGAAGGGAGTCTTGCAGATTGGTTCATCGGTAATGTCATGCAACGTCTCGAGATATGGATGAGCAAGCGCATCCTCAACTGCAAAGAGGGCATAAAAATAAAGGTGATGAGAGTCCAAATAAAACTACAAAGAGACAGAAATGTACTAATTAACCTGAGATTCTCTGTCTAGGGTCAAACTTTAGCATCTTCTCCATCAAGTCAATAGCTGAATAGGGCACATTTGGTAACTTATTATAGAATGATTGGCCATCAAACCAAGGAAGCTGCCTTAAGTATTTCTTAGCATTATCATTCAACGATCCAATGTCATATTCTGTTGGAGAGCCTATCATCTGCAAAACAAAGTGGAAAACTTCTTCTAAGTTAAGAAATCACACAAAAAGTGTTGTGTTCCTCGCGTGGCTGATTCTGGACATATGCAAGTTACCGTTGGCTTATGATCTCTAAAATTTAAAAATTAATTTACATAGTCCCCAATTTTTTTTTAAAAATTGTTTACTATTAATTAAACTTCTTACTTAAGGTCTTCCTTCCTCGGACACACTAAGAGTTTATTACCTCTAGAATCAAACGGAGCTGATGATCATGATCTCTTCCGGGGAAGAGCGGTCTGCCAGTCACCAGTTCAAAGAATATACAGCCCACAGACCACATATCTATAGCTTTGGTATAAGCAGAAGAGTTCAACAGAAGCTCTGGTGCACGGTACCATCTTGTGGCAACGTACGCAGTCATTGCATGAGTCTCGGAAGCTGCACGTGCAAGCCCGAAATCACAAATCTTTAACTCACAGTTTACATTCACAAGGAGATTGCTCGGTTTTAAATCTCTATGTAACACATTGGCTGAATGAATGTACTTTAATCCGCGCAGGATTTGATACAAAAAATACTGCATAAAAGGGGAAAACGAACGTAACACGTTGAAGCTCTCTAACAAATGATTAAAGCTTACAAAAAAAATGAATTCATAAAAGTCAAACCTGGTAATGATCTTTGGTTAGTTTTTCATTGGATGTTATGACTTTATGAAGGTCACTGTCCATCATTTCATAAGTAATGTAAACATCTTCAAAAGCATATCTCTGGGGAGGCACGATTATGTCTTTGATTTCAACAATCTGTGGTAAATGGTACACTTAAATATTAGTTTTGATTGAATGGTTTATTTTTTTTGAACATATATATGTAAAGTAAGAGAAGAGTGATGCAATCAAACGGACGTTTTCATGCTTTAAGTGACGAAGAAGCTTGATTTCACGGAGAGTTCTCTTTGCATGGATTCGGTTTTCACATGCATGCATGATTTTCTTTATTGCTACTGTCTCATTTGTCTCCGAGTTTACAGCCGAACTGTTAAAATAGTATAAATTAATTATTAATGTGGTAATGATATTCAGAGCAACCAAAAAAAAGCTCACTCATGGTATTTTTCTTTTTTTTTTTTCTAAATATGAATCAAATTTTTCAGATTTTACAACTTTTAAGTTAAAGGAAAATATTTACCAACCAACCCTTACACAAAGTAGTGGCTAAGGATAGTATTTTTTTTTTTTTTTTGCTTAAAAAGACTTAGCTAAAGGAAAATATTTTAAAGGATTGAATATTCACTACTGGAAAATTCACTACTAGAAAATTTACAGACAAAAACATTAAAACACACACGAATGTTGAAAGGTAAATTACCAAACGAGGCCATCACCACCTCTGCCAAGAGTCATGATCGGTGGCTTATACTTTGCGGGGACTTCGAAGATATTACCAGATATGTTGTATTGTACATACTCATCATCTTTAAGTATTGTTTCCATGACTCCTCAAATATTTTTTTGTTTTTTTGATAAAGACTCCTCAAATTCTAACTCGTAAGCTTTTGCTTTTCTTGCAAAAACTCCAGAGTTAAAAGAAAAATGGTATTTGTTTTTGTTCTGGTTGGATTAATTTAATAGCCTGAGAGGAGGTATATATATAGTGACTGTGCAAGTATGAGTGTCTAACTTGGTACGTTAGTTTTGGTAAATTTTAGCAGTTTTAAGTAGGTTATTTTTCATTAGTGGAAATGAAGCTGCAAATTCACTTTTGTTTATAAAGTTCATCTTACTATAGTTTGTATTTAGAGGGGATTTTACAGTAGTTTACAAATAAATTTATTTATTTATTCAGCTTATTAAAATCTTCATTTCCTTTTTTTTAAAAATATTTTCTGAATATATTTAAACTTAATTTATATACTTTAAAAGAAATTTGATCTTCCTTTTTAAAACGTAATAGATAGCATTGTTTAATGTACAGTAGGAATATTCTATAATACTCTAGATAATGCACCTTTATTATCAATATCTATAGTCAAAATAAATTTGCAAGTCTAATGGCATTTGTCGAAATATAATATAAACTCGGATCGTGCAGTGTGATAGCTAGTCCACTCTGTAACATTAAGTGTATTTCTCTCGGGGTTAACCGGATCAACGAATAGTGTTTATAAAAAAAACTCTAATGGATATTATATCTAGTAGTTTAAATATGTATATACTTATTTTATTTACAGAAATAATATTTTGTTAAGTTTCTTTCCTACAAAATATAGTTATTTCCAGTTCTTCTATACTCTTTTGGGTAATGTATGATGACAGTTGTTGTATAAAAAGATTAAAAAGCAAAAACACAAAAAACAAATTTAATATTTAATTAAAAAACAAAAGATTACAGCTATAAAAAAAATATTCTTGATGCTTAAATAGTTATCTTTGTTGGATATCTTAACATAGATGGAAAATATACACTAGAATTAATAACAAAAAAAGGTAGTCCAGCATCCCATGATTCACCAGGTATACCTTATTTGTTTATCAAGATTTATTATTGTTTTTTTACCTAATTACTACTTCTGGTTGACAACTAGTGCATGCATTAGTGAAATAGTGACAAATTTACAATATGTCAATTCATACAGTTACTCACCACGATTATTTTGCTATTAAGTAAAAGTTAAATGAACTCTGTAGTAACATAGTTTAGCCGTTAAAAATGTTATATTTATATAGTCCAATAGGTTAGTGAACCTAACTTGATGTCGACGGAAACTCCAAAAGTATATTTAGGGACAATAATATAATAGTTCTTGATCACGGCATGCTCTATAGAGAGTTCTTCTGAGTCACGAGCATGAACATTAACGGTCCCAAGACACCGACAAAGTAATTTTTGGCAGGTAGGTACAATGTACAATAAAATAAAATAAAGTTGGACCCTTTAGGCTTCTGAGACATCAACGTTGTTCAAAGCTTCTTCTGGGGATGATGATGATGATGAATCTTGGACATCGTCAGAAGTTTCATCAGACGGCTGAGATTCATGCTTAGCAGCAGCCTGCAAAACCCGGCTTCGAACATCTGAGGAAGAAGGTGAAGTTGGGAGGCCAACACCATTTGTCTCGAGTTTCCCAGCAGCCCATGAGAAAGCCTGGGCTCCAAGTTTCACCGGCACAAACAGTTGCCTTGAAGAAGAAGAAGAAACAACTATTGTTAAAACTACATTTTTTTCTGAGGTTTTGTTATGAACAATGATGGAGTTTTTTTAATACCTGACGTCTTGTTTGAAGTCTTCTGAGTCATCATAGGAAGAAAGTCGTTGGTATATAGTCTGCATAACGTCGGAGACTTGAGAAACAAAGCCAAAATATTATTACAAGTCAGTGAGTGGGAGAATAAAAGATTACCAAACCAAGGCCAATGACAGCAATGAGTTGCAGTGTTTTCTCCCACTCTGCAAGGAGATATAACAGTTCATGTTACTACAATGTTGAAAGCGAGAAGAAGAGATTGTACAAGAGACTTAAAACGCACCAAACAAAGCATATGATCCTGCCAAAACCCCCTGCATAGCTCGCATTGTGTTAGTGAGGATGGGGTTAAATATTATTACAGAAATAGAAAGATCAGAACTAGAAAAATACCACACCAACTCCAACTACTTGCAATGGGGAAGGGTTTATCTCCTCAAGGATTGCCTCAGCTTCCTGAAAACCAATCAGGAATCATGATGTGCTTCACTTTTCGAACGAAAAGATTAGAGATACCTCGTTGAGGATGGTAAGTGTTGTCTCAGGTTTGGGCTCTTTCACACGAAGACCTTCTTTAACCCATGATCTAAACCCACCTAGCATCAAGTATGGCCTCTGTCACATTTATAAACAAACAAAGAAGAGTTTATTTCAGAATCTTTTAAGGTAACTATAGTACTAAAAGTGAGTAAGACAAGAATAATAACTTGCCTTAATCCCAAGTTTTCTCAAGGCTCTTGCAATACCCTTAGAGCGAGTTCCATCAGCATCCATAACAATGACCTTGGACCTGTCCTATAAGTAGCATAGCAAGCAAAGTTTATGAGATGTTAGCATACTTTTTAGAAACAGAAACTCCACCAATAAGTTGCTTGGGCATGCACAAAACTACAGCAAGTTTCAAAAAGAGGCATGAATGTAGTGGCATACCTGAACTGATTTCAAATTCTTGATGATAACAGCCGCCAAGGCATCTTCAACTTCTTTTCCACCTCTCAGTAGTCGTTTAACATCACCGTCAACCTTAAACATGAATCAAGAACCATTAAAAATGTGCTTTCTGCTTCATTGAGTTTTTTGGAGCAGTGATTGTTGAAACTAACCTCAGGCAATGTCACACTAGAATATCGGAAACGAGCTCCCCTCCGCAGATCAGGAATTCCATCTTTCTCTCTCAAGGCCTTCAAAAAGACAGTAGCCAAGATGAATTTAGTTATTTCAAACATGAACATTATGTGAAGCTTAAGAGCGTCTTACCTCAGGCCTGACATCAACGAGCACTGGCTTTTCTCTTGATGTTAAAAGCTCAAGAGTTGACTTTGGAGACAAATCTCCAGCATATCCACCATATGTCCAAACCCGGTATAGAACCCTGCAAATATCTGGTGGAGAATATAAAATTTTCTATACTACACTCTTCTTCTCACACTAAAGGCAAGTACAATATCCATTCAGGGTGTGAAAAGCCGTGTACCAAAAGGTTCCTGTGGAGCCTACGAAGAGAACAAGGTGAATGATTGGATCATCTGGACTCAAGCCGATGTTTCTCTCCAGACCTCCAATGGTAGCATATACCTGTTCATCATGATACTGTTAGAAACATGATGCCCATCAAAGATTGTGTTCTTTGTAAGAAAGATATAAGACGAAGCACCTGCTCCAAGACGGCTCCCAGGGGCCTCAACACTTTTAGGGCAACATCTTCGGATGAGTTAAGAGCACTCTTAACATCTGGAGGAAGCAATTCTTTAGCTGATCCATAAGAGTACGCAGCAAAGGAAACTCCATTTGCTAGAGACCTCTCTGCAGTACTAACTGATTGCCTCAGTAAATCAATGGCTACAAAAGCTGCTTTGTTTGAAGCTTCCTTCAAGCCACCGGAAAAGCTAGAGAGCTTGTCTCCAGCTACATCTCCTGTTTGGTCTAGCGTAGAAAACGCAGTTTTAAATGCATTATCTACAGCTTCAGAAGCATTCTTTATAATGGATGTCACTGAAGAGGAGAAGGAGTCCACAGTGTTCTTTACAGCGTTTTCTCCTTGGTTTAGTGAAGAGCTGAAGGAGTCCTTCACCCCAGAAGAGAAGTCATCAAAGTTAGCTTTCACATCGGGAAGTGTCTCTTGATTGATATCTATAGAATCAGGCAGAGAAACAGAACTATCCGGAGATATATCAACAGATGATCCTGTTCCCGGTTCAGATGAGACTATAAGGCTGGTGGTGTTTTCGGTTAAAGTCTCAGCAGCAGGGTTTTCAAGAGGGGAAACATCTGGTACGACAGCTTCAATAGGTGAAGCATCTGGTACGATAGCTTCAAGAGGGGAAACATCTGGTACAATAGCTTCAACAGGTGACACATCTGGTACAATAGCTTCAACAGGTGGAGAATCTGCTACAATAGCTTCAAGAGGGGAACCATCTGCCACAACAGGAGAAACATCTGATGTACTTTCGACATATGCTAGTCCCCCATTTCTTACATCTCTCATGTCATAAACCATGTAGTTTATTCTGTCCAAATCATTCTCACACACGTTTCTGAATGTGGATGCTGTTTGGTCTGTGTTTTCGATAGTACCGGCCAAGAATCTACCAGTTGCTTGCGCTAAATAAGTCTTGTTCAAGTTTTGTGTCCCATTAGAAATGCCAAAGAAGGCAGTATCACCAGAGCTGAATCTGTGAATGGACTCTCTCCTTAAGGAAGAACAGCCTCGCCAGTTTCCATGATACAAAAGCTGCATGAACAATCATTTATGAGAATCCAAAACATTTGTCTAAAAATACATATAAACAAAGCATATGTCACTACGGTCCTAGTAACCACATAACACAAAGAGTTCAAAATTACATAAGTTTAATGCAATTACATTATATGTGTTTCATTTCTATAAAGAAAAAAGCTAACCTGAGAATGATAATGGCAGCTTGCGGCGGAGCAGAGGGGAAACATTTTGGTCAGTTCTTGATTCTTATAGCAATCTCATAGCTATTCACAACATACCGTAAAAAGTTAACAACAAGGTAGATCTCAGGGGAGAAAAAAATGACAAGCCGGTAAATTTAATTAAGACAAAAGAAACCTGTCAAAGAGACAGAAACAGAACACATACCAAGGAGAAGAGACAGGCAAAAAAAAAGAGTCCAACAACAGCAGAGTTACAATAATGGGTTTTGTCTGAAACCTGCAGTACGAATTACCCATCATCAAATTATCCAGCATGATCATTTTGTAAACCTCAACGATGTAGAG